TACTGCTGAATAAATGCTTTGTAGTAATATAAGAGTAAATATGGGATAACTATGTACTGTTATTCTATCATATGGAAATATTAAAAATGTTTTGTTCTACAACTTAAAGAGTTATTTATGTGTATTTTTTCCAAAAATTGTCATGTGCTGTATCTAAGTCGAGAGACAAAGTGCACAAATTTTTAAATAAACCGCTCAGCAACCTCGCAGGCGGCTTGGACCAGAACTGCCTGCGTTTTTCAGTTTCAGTGAAGTGCAAATGAGTGCAGTCAAAATGCAGGCAATTGTACAGTCAGAGGTGCTGCCAGGGATTTCGGATATGATAAATTTTTTTTTAAAAAACCCTTTCTGCACTGAAATAGAATAAAATGCATTTTGATTCAGTGTACTGCGATAGCAATCAGCGACTGTACATTCAAAAAACCCATCTCTTCATATTTACCATGAAGTTAACTTAAGAATTGTTACCTGGCAAAAAAAAAATAATCTGACGTTAAAATGAAAGTAAGTTTTGTATTGAATGTGAAAATACACAGAATTTAATTTTCAGGAACCATCAAATACAGTTTGAGAGAGAAAAAAAATCTATTACAAATTTAAATTGTACAATTCAGATCCAGTTATTCAATATGATTCAGATTAAAATATACAAATCCATCCATTATCCAAGCAGCTTAATTTCAATTAATGTAATTCAAATTCAGGATAAACTATTTAAATCTAAGTTATTCACACTCAGTTTCTGGTGGCAAATACTCCACCCCACCGTGTCCCACTGAATTTCAGAAACTTCAAGGGTTCTTTTTACTGACCGTTCATTGGTTGTTGTTTTCCTAACACACTGTCCATCCTTGTTTTCTCCCAGTTAAAAAACAAAAATATTTATACAAAGCTGTACACATTTGAAAAACATTGGAGATCTGACACCATAATATCAGTTTTAGTTGAATTATTGTTTTTAGCGGTCGTATTACCTGATGATACAAAAAGTTAATTTAAAACCATGTTTGCATGTTTCAGCTGCTGTGAGGCCTAACCGCCTAACATCTGGGGCCACAGACCAGAAAATCAATGCCACAATCAAAAGATGGCTTCATCGGGCTCTTGATCGGGATGGTGATAGGAAGGAGGGGATGAGAAGAAAAGAGGGCATGGAGAACACAACAATTTGATGGATCTAAAAAATGCCATTCAAGAGCAAGCTGCATCCCAGTTTGGACTCAGTTCAAATAAAGCAAAGTGCAGTTTTCCAGTGTATGTGCAGTTATATTGTCATGATTCGGTTTGGGACCAACAGGTGGCACTGTAGGGCTCTCCCTGCAGCTGCACACCTGTTGGTCGTGATGTTATTAGTAATATAAAAGGACTCCTGCCCGACCACTCATTGTCAGGTCATTGTTGCTGTTTGTTGCCTGCTGTCATGTTTGTTTCGGTCATGTTTTGGTTACTGTTATGTTTTAGCTTCGGTCATGGTTTTTGTTTGATACTTGGGACTCTGTTGTTAAGACTTTGTTTGTTTTGGATTTAGTTTTCTGTGTTTTATCAATACAATCTTTCAAGTACACCCTGCTCCTCCCTCTTGCCTACTTTTTGGGGTCCACTACCACCTCGTACCGTGACAGAATCACCCGACCACCACCTGGACCCCGCAGGTACAAAGGACTGGTCCCTATTCCGCCATGTGCCTGGCGGAGCACGTCTGCGGCCGACACCCTTTTCCTCTTCAGGCAGCACGGGTGGTGAGGCTGTCCCGTGTTCCCCCTTCAGGCAGCGCTGGTGATGCGGCTGTCCCATGTTTTCGTCTCGTCAAGCCGCGTCTACGGTGGGCCGAGCCCAGTCCACGTCCACGTCCACGTTGAGTCGAGGCTCGTCACGTTTCTGTTCGAACTGAGTCACATTCACGTCCACGACGAGCCGTGCCACGTCCACGGCCACGTCAGGCCGTACCCCTGTTCACGTCCGGCTGTCCCATGTCCCCCGTGAGATTGAGCTCCGTCCACGTCAGGCCAAGCCCAGCCAAAGGGCTGCTGTCGCTTTTTGTTCCTGTTCTCCGGCAAGGCGAAGGTCGCCGTCACTTTTGTTCCTGTTCCCTGGCGAGGCAAAGGTCGTCGTCGCTTTTGTTCCTGTTCTCCGGCGAGGCGAAGGTCGCTGTCGCTTTTAGTTTCCGTTCCACGGCGAGGCAAGCCTTTTGGACAACTTTGGGACGTCTGGGATCCGTCCCTTGAGGGAGGGGTGCTGTCATGATTTGATTTGGGACCAACAGGTGGCACTATAGGGCTTCTCCCTGCAGCTGCACACCTGTTGGTCGTTATATAATCAGTGATAATTTTACAGTTTACCCCCAGCGAGTCCCAGGGACTCGCTGATCAGAAAAATATGAGTCCCATTATGGATTTAGAGAGTCCCAAATTTTGAATTCTGAAATGGTCTCCTTCTTCAATTGCATATGATAATAACACAAACAACAACAGCAACATACAATTATAAACAAATGCTGCAAAAATTTAAATAATTCAGGAGCAGGCCTGAGGATTTCGGAAATTCATGGTAACCGTTTTTCGGTTCCGTAGGAGTACCCAATGGGAAACCACGGCAACTAATTTTGGGTTCCGTAAACATTCATCATGGGAACCCATTTTTCTATTTTGACTGTTATTCATTATCAGGAATTCTGAAACTCAAAAGTATGTTTCAATTGTAAATGTTTGAAAACTATGCATGAACAACGAACATTACATCAGCAGCGCATTATAAGGCGTCCTGTCCATTTTGGAGAAAATTTAAGACTTTTAATGGCGCCTTATAGTCGTGAAAATACAGTACTCATATGGCATCATGAATACAGCATACCACAAAATCAGAGTATTTTTTCCAATCTCACACTGCAAAGATTAATTTACTGGTAATCATTAATACAGGTAAGTATTGATGTGGCTTGACATCCTCTTCCCAAGATGATGCATGTGTAATCAACTATCAATTTGATGAAAGAATCTAACACACGTCATCATTAGTTCTACCAACAGTTAACAATAGCATTACTACACCTCGTGACGAATGTTTTATTCCTAAAGTAACCATACTACATCCAGGAAATTATACAATAACCAATACTGTTTAATAATATTTTTCATAGCGATTAGCCTATAGATCTAATGACCAATTTGCCTCGTAATCGTGCCTCTCGTCGTATCTCGCTCTCGTGTTCTGGGCATAGTCACAGGTGAGTTTAGTGATACGCCCTTCGAACGATTCATACGAAAAATCAGACTGGCATTCTCATTTCTTAAATGTCATAATTAGTAGACCTTTGTGAGTTTTTTTCGCCGCCATCTCAAACTTTCATCCGCGCGATTCCTCAGTTTGCGGACTAAAATAGCAACCCGCACACGCACATAACGTTATCTGTTCCGTCTCCTCCAACACTGAAACAAAACAAAACGAAAGTAAATTGGAAGAAACACACTCGCACACCACACCACAAACACCCATACAGACACAGTGAAATCGCGTTGATCACACAGGAGAGACTTGATCGCGTACAGTCAACTTGTGTGCAGTGACTTTTATGGTTAAACAATTTGTCGGTATGTCAAAATGACGCCACGGAAACGACACACTACCGGTAACGATCGTTACCTTGAAATCCTCAGGCCCGCCGTAGTTTTTTGTTGTTGTTGTTTTGACTGAGAAATTTCCTTCCATCCCAAAAACGCACATGATTTGGAACTGTGCGTCCCGCGAGAAAATTATGCGTCTAGGACGCGGGACGCAGAGGTAACGAGATGGCTGTGTAATTAGTAATATAAAAGGACTCCTGCCCGACCACTCATTGTCGGGTCATTGTTGCTGTTTGTTGGCTGCTGTCATGTTTGTTTCAGTCATGTTTCGGTTACTGTTATGTTTTAGCTTCGGTCATGGTTTTTGTTTGATACTTTGGACTTTGTTTTGGATTTAGTTTTCTGTGTTTTATCAATACAATCTTTCAAGTACACCCTGCTTCTCCCTCTTGCCTGCTTTTTGGGGTCCACCACCACCTCGCATCGTGACATATATGTGAGGTTCAAAAATTATGACAATAAACATATTTTTAGTACAGTTGTTTTTGAGGCTTTTTTTTATTACATGTGGGTCAAATATAGCTCATAAATGAAGTGGCGTATTAAGGTTGAATTAAGGCTGATATCAGGAACCTGTTCTGGCCCAGCATAGGGTCGGAGTAGGCCCAGATATGGTTTTGCAATTTGACTCAGATATGGGCCTGATGTGGCCAACATTGTGGATGCCAGATGTGGGCCACTAATAAAACAACACGCAAGAAATATGGAAAAGACTAAATCACATCATCAGAAATAGTTCTAAAAAAGTAGAATAATTGATTCAAAGTGAATTGATTTTTGGCACTAGACTAATTACACACCAAGTTAAAATGATCGTAAACTCAATTGAAATAGAAAGAGTGTATGAAAATAAATTTCTTGGATCCGTGATTGATGCAAAACTATGTTGGAAGCCACATACAGATAACATCAAAAGGAAAATATCAAAAACCATAGGGATCCTCTATAAAACCAAAGATGTGCTGAATAAGAGATCAAACGGAAAGTTGTTAAGTACAGCATATGCAAATATGGCACGCATTAGGGTTAATGCATTTGTGTACATGACTAGGTTTATATGTAGACTATTTTCCTTATTTTCTCAAATTAAGATACAGTTTACCAAATGCATGATCTATCAGTATATTACTATCAAACAAGTTAAAACTCACAACGAACAAGGGTTAGGACTAGATAAGCTTATAACTTCTTCCTACTTCTTTTGAGCATGTAATTTGTGCTGAATGATGACTATTTTTTTTTGCTTTACCTCCTGCGAAATTTTTATTTTCTGTTTATATGTTCAATAAACAAATAAAACAATGATGTGGCATGCAGCTAGCTACTGTCTGTACTTAATGTCAAACTAATGTCTGATTTTAAAACCTCAAACGTTTTACTTGGTAAGTCTTCATACTATCGTGTAGTAACTGTCGTGGATGTGCTTGTTGTACCTGTTTCGCTGCCCACCAGAGGCTGATTGGCGAAGTGGTTAATAAAGTCCCGAAGGTTTGAAAATGTGTTAAATCCAAACACATAGCCATTGCCTTTGCGTGTCACGTGAAAATGCTTGACTGAATCCTTTGCCCTGTAGATTGGATTGGAAACATCATATTAATTCATCTGAATTGTCACAAAACGAATGTGATACAAACTGCCTTTCATAAGTGACTTTTTAGTGTCAGCATTGGAAAAAAGTAATCTTTTTTTACAGCTTTCTGAATGCTGTCGATCTGTTTTGTTTAACATGTCTCCTCAACATTGTCAGGGATGGTATCTGTGGATTAGTCCATAATTAATCCTTCTTCAGCGGGACAATGGATGTTTGCCAAATGTAGGGGATAACAATCCTCAACCAGCCACATGCTTGTGGAGGCTCTCAGTCGTACAGGAAAGTTCCATCGTAGAAAGGGTTCCGTCAGTCGTCATCTGTACCTGTGGGTGAAAAACAAAAAACAAAAAAGGACGTTTCGCTTCTCTCACAGAAGCTTCGTCAGCGGTAGACAACTCTGAAGTCTCCGTGAAGACTCCGGGAAATTGCTCTGCGCTAAAAAGCTGAGCGTGGCCTATTTGAGGACTGGGTGGGGATGGTTAGTCACGCCCCTATGGTGA